AGAGTGTGGGGACACAGGAGTGACCATCAGAGCCATGGGGACACGGGAGTGACCATCAGAGACACCAGAGTGACCATCACATAGCCATGGGGACATGGCAGTGACCATCACAGTGTGTGGGGACAGGGGAGTGACCCAGTGTGGTGCAGGTCCAAGCTGTGGCACTGCAGGTCTGGATTGTGGCATTGCACTCCCAAAACATGGAGTTGCACACCCAAATAATGGAATTGGAATTGGACACCCAAACTATGGAATTGCACACCCAAATAATGGAATTACACACCCAAACCCTGGAATTGCACACCCAAAATATGGAATAACACACCTAAACCATGGAATAGCACACCCAAACCCTGGAACTGCATGCCCAAAATATGGAACTACACACCCAAACCATGGAATTGGAATTGCATACCTAAAATATGGAATTGCACACCCAAAATATGGAATTACACACTCAAACCATGCATTTGCATACCCAAACCCTGGAATTGCACACCCAAAATATGGAATTGGAATTGCACACCCAAACCCTGGAATTGTACACCCAAAATATGGAATTACACACCCAAAACTTGGAATTGCACACCCAAATCATGGAATCGGAATTGCACGCCCAAGCCATGGAATTGCACACCCAAACCCTAGAATTACACACCTAAATCACAGCACTGCACACTCAACCCCTCCATATCCCAGTCCCCAGGGTTTGGGGTCACACCTCTGGGATCCCAGGCTCTGTGGCGTCAGGCACATTGCCACCATTATTTTTCCATTATTTTGCCATAATTTTTCCAATATTTTCCCATTAGTTTTCCAGCATTTTCCCATTATTTTCCCAGGAACATCCCAGGCCTCTCCTTTCCCCCTGCCCCAGCCCAGGAGCTGCACGCTGAGATCCCTGATAAGAGATAAGGGATGCTGCTCCCCAGCCCTGGCCAGCACATTCCCCTTTGAGGGGCCCAAATCCACCCGAGATGAGTCAGTTCCTCCAGCTCCAGCCCCTGTTCTACATGGAACTGGAATTTCTCATTTCATTTCGGCCCTGCAGGGGAGGCAGAGCTGCAGGAGACAATGGAGGAACACAAACACTCTGAAATCTAAAAATAAAATAAATGTCAGTGCCAGGCAGAGCAGCCCTGCCTGTGCTCGCTGTCAGCCCTGCAGGAGCTCTGGGATTTGGGAATTTGGGACAATTCTGGGCACCGTCAGCAGTGATGGCTGGAGACAACACCTGGGACAGGACACAGTTACAGGAGTAAAGTAGGGGTTTATTAAAAATATTTAAATGTATTTATTAAGAATCCTTCACAGGATTCACCGAGGGCAGCACAAGAGCCTGGCCATGGCTACACCCAAGAGTCAGAGTTTTCATTTTTTTATAAATTCTGGCCCATTTTCATATTGGGGTTAATTAATGGGGGGAGACCCCAAGGGTGGGGCTGTCCTGGGGTGGTTTTAAACCCAGGGAAGTGGAGCTGAGGGGACAGAGGAGTTCTGGGGAGTTTTTATTCCTTTGGCAGGGGAGGAGAGCAGAGCTGAGGGCAGAAAGGTGTTCTGGGGGGGTTTTGATCCTTTGGCAGTGGAGCTGAGGGGACAGAACTGCTTTGGCGTGTTTTTAATCCCAGGGAAATGGAGCTGAGAGGACAGAGGAGTTCAGGGGTGGTTTTAATCCCTTATCAAAGGAGAAAAGCGGAGCTGAGGGGCCCAGGCCGGCAGGGCCGCCTCACGGCCGGGGCTGTGTCTCCCTCTGCTGGGCGGCAGCGACTCCACTGCAAACCCCGCTCCACGGAGATCAGGAATTTCTTCGCTCAGAAGTTGCAACAAAACCTTTTTTCTTTCTTTTATTTATTTTTTTTTTCCCCCTGTAA